AAAACTAAGCCTACATAGAACTTAGGTAAATTGACTATTGCTATAAGCACTCTCTAGAATGAATTTGAATACAAATTAAGCTTGCATTTCATCAGGATCTTAACAAAGTATATGATCAAGAATTTTTGAAGATTCTCATACTTGTTTTTCAAATTATTGAAGCAGTGTATTGGCTTTGTATCACATGCTACAGACAAGCTTACATGATTCACCACCATTCAGTTTTGAAGATTGTTCATCACTAAGATATAAGACAAAATCACCTTATACGTTTTTACCTGTCCCAGCAAATCCTCATAGATGCCTCTGGGCATTTGCTTGGCCGTCTGGCTTCAACAGTGGCAAAAAGCCTTCTTCTTGGACAGCGTGTTGTTGTTGTGCGATGTGAACAAATAAACATCAGTGGAAATTTCTACAGAAATAAATGTAAGTAAACTAGCGATATAGGCCTTATTATCAATGACGAAGCCATATTAAAGAGATGTACATGTATTATATGTTCTTTTTTTATGATACGACTTTTTTTTTGTTACATGTACTTTAAACTGTAGAAAAGATAATTCAAAATCACATATAGACCTCTGAATCTTTTACTCCATGTGCYGTATATGCAGTGCRTTGTAGGAAATGTTTGGGACGGAACATATTTCTTTTGTTTTACTAGAAACTGATCCCACAATGCATTGAAATGAAGTAGTGACGTAAAATGTTCAGAAGTCTAATCAGCTTCATGTAAAATACATGTCTTTTGTCTATTGAAATGTTTGATTGTTTTCTTCTTTTMTGCAGTGAAGTATCTTGACTTTTTGCGAAAGCGAACCAACACAAAACCCTCACATGGCCCATTTCACTTCCGTGCACCAAGCAGGATATTCTGGAGAACTGTCCGTGGTAAGTACCAGCATCACTGGCAGAAAGTTAACAAATCGAAATCGCTTTTCTATGGTCTGTACGCTTATCAACAATGAAAATCTTCATTGTTGATAGCTAGTGGTTTCACTGCCAAGTTTTGATCATTTTCTGGCGTCATTTTCATTGTCGATAAGCRTACAGACCATAGAAAAGTGATTTCGATTTGTCTTTTACCATAACAAGGCCGAAAACAAAGTAAAACTTTCAAAACAAGATCGTTTCTAGCGCGCGGCAGCTCCGTGCGCGAGCGATTCGTCATTTCATCGGTCTGTCCTACGATCGACAACGGCTCTCGACCAATCAGCACGCGAGAATTCTACAAGTTATGGTAAAATAATAAATTGATTCTTGATAACATTGAACAGGGTTTGTGCTACTCCTGGAAGTCCTTTAGATAAGCCCTGGAATTGAACTCGTTTTCAAGGGAGCTTGAAAGTCCTTKAAAATGRGGAACATTGTTGAAACCMYKGGAAACCTCCTTGATCTKATAAAATTGGCATGTTGCTTGTTAGMTTTTGGATTGAAATGTGGCTATTTTTGAAAATCGGAAAAGACAATACTGGAAGCTTCAGAATCTGGATTGTACAATATGCTGATGGCGCATGGGAATTTTTAAACCAATCAATTCAAAGACTCATTTGTCTACAACCAAAGCCATCAATTTTCTGTTGGGATATACTGAGAARGRTCTGGTCATGAGAATGAAAATGTTCATGTACATTGTTTCTTAGGAATGATTCCRCACAAGACCAAACGAGGAACTGAAGCTATGAACCGCTTGAAGGTGTTTGATGGTGTTCCACATCCTTATGATAAGGTAACATTTCAGTGTGATTTSATATCCTATCGCTGGTTTAAAAATCTTTTTAAGATCATAGGTATTTTTTTAACTGAAATATGGAATACATGTACTCGGGTATGCAGAAATCTATATTGTTGAAAAGATCTCTGACAATTAAGCTTAGAGAGAGTTTTTCAAAACTTGGAGACTACCTCCAAGCAAACATGTGATATTTTGTTTATCAAATGCAGTGAATGTAATATTAATAGTAATTTTGACATAATTTAAAATATTTTATTAACCTCCAATAAATAAAGGTAGCACAATGTGAATATTCACTGGTGAATATAGTGAAAATATTAAAAAGTTTTCGAAAGTTAGAAATAAGGGTATTTCATGGATTTTTGTAATGATAAATGTCAATGTCTCCAAAAGAAAAGRTGTATTTAAAGGCAATGGCTTAAGCGCAGACAATTTCTCTATGCTAGCTAAATTGTTTTCAAGCTATATTAGAGTCCCTCTAATCTCTCTCTAATGTCAACAGGAAAAGCGCATGGTTGTCCCTTCTGCCCTCCGTGTTATCCGCCTCAAGCCAGGTCGAAAGGTAAGATATCATATGCAAGTACATAAAATAGAAGATTACAGAAGAAACTACTGTATTTSCATGATGAAATTTTCACTACAACATTGTTTCATATGGTCTAGAGGACCACACTTATCAGRTGAAACCACTACATGACTGTTAATATCTAAGGTTCACATTAAGTACAAATTTAAAATTGACATTGAAGTACATGTATAAAGTAAGTTAATGGTCATGTTATGGTTTCAAGTACWGTATCTAGTTTCATCTGTTGCTACTGATTGACTTACAGTAGAGCRCATTTCGTATGACTGTGCAAAAAACATGGTACTTTCGCGCCATAGTCCATATCGCATACCCGTGGAAAGTTTGGGATTGATAAATGAGTAAACAAGTGAAAAACGATGTCAGTGCCCCAGTTGTCTGTAACGTAGACTCAGTTTTCGAAAAATATTGTGAAATATTGATATTGCAGTTAATCTCAGAAGCGAAAAAACAAACAAACATCAACATGCAAGGAAATACAGCAAGAAAAACCTCCAAAAAATGTAAACAGTTAACCAAGAATTTCCATTTACTAGGCAAATCAAGCAAAAATTAAAAGAAACATATTTTGTCTGTGGAAAAATCAAAACTGATGAGTGTTTTTACGATTTTAGCGAYTTGTTTTGATGAAGAAAGGGAGATATATCCCATGCTACATTGCAAAACCATTCAAAATGGCGGGCTTGTGATATGGACTATGGTCGTACCGTTTCTTTCTTTCTTTCTTTCTTTTTTTGAATTATAAAAGGCAAGGTTCCGTGACCGTGCAGTGCTGTGTCCGTGTTGTGATCCGTGGTGTTGCACAGTCAAACGAAATCCGCTCTAAAAGTTTGAGGGCCACAAGTTTATTAATTACCAAACTATTCTGTGCCACAGGGTTTGTGTGGGTCCTGGAAAACCTTGGAAGTCATAAAATGTTGTCAGTTGTTATCTTTTAAATATCTGAAATTGTTATTTTTTATCTTTCTTAGTTTTGCGTCCTTGGAAGACTCTCACACGAAGTTGGATGGAAGTACCAGGTAAAATATGCTCGACAAATGAATTTTGTACSAATGACAATAATTGTATCAAATCAGTATGGCTKTATTTTAGTAATTAAATGYTGTACTCTATCAGAAAATTCAGTGAAAATAAGTAAAAGTTTGTGGTATTCTCTGTTTACCAGCATTCACTATAAGTGACCAACCAGTTTCAAAATATCTGACAAACTGACATGGCCATCTTGATACTTCATGTACATATAACTTGAAAACCAGTTTCAGTCATACAAAATACATTGCTTGTTTGCATTTATCATTATTATTATTATTAATTGTAATCGCTTATCTTGCTGGGACACCATTGAAATGTGAAGAAGTAATATTTAGTTTGCCATCTTTTGCAATAGGACATTATCAGTACACTTGAGGAGAAGCGAAAGGCCAAGTCTGCAGTCTACTTCRAACACAAGAAGAAGCTGCAGGTCAGTTAACATTGATGTTCTGCAGTAGCTAAACCTATGACATGAGCACCAACTTGACGCTTTCTCTTACTAAGATAAAGCTAAATGATATCATACAAAAAAACATTTGGGTTGGGTTTAAAAGTATACATCAATGAAATCAAAGGGATCATGAAAAGACACAATATTCAGTGATGACTGCATACCAATCCCCAAATACAGCACAGTGAGCACTGAGTTATCACGGCCTATAAATCTACTGTACAAAAGATGAGAATTATTGACAGTGTTCTGAACATGTACATGTATCAGTTGCATTATGAGTAATTTTCACTAAAWGTAAACCTCCTCTTTCTTAAAACCACTCTTTATTTTAGCTCATATATGTTATTCAGACACGATAGCTTGAAGCACTTAACGTTACATGTACATGTATACAGCTATTCCAGCAAACCTTGAATACTGAATAGAGTATCCCTAGACCGCAGTGCATTGCTGGTCGTTCTATCACCGCTGCTTGTTTCAGAGTGATTATACAAGCTACATACCCTCTAAAACTACAATGGAAAGCAATAGGCCTTTTGCATTAAACGGTCACATGGAACAAAATCCGCCTTACTAAAAGAATGTAAACCAATTCAAAAACAAAAGGAACGCAGCCCGTCAAACTTCACTTTTCTTTGTTTTTACATCCAGTATGGCGGATTTTGTATCATGTGACCTAGCCTGAGTATCAGGCTCTCTCGAAGGGGATTGGGGCGGAGCGATAATTCCCTTCGAGAGAGCCTGATACTCAGGCTGCATGTGACCGTTTCATGCAAAAGGCCTGTTAGTTAAGAATGCCATTTTGAAGCGCAGCTAACGTGGAGTTTAATGACAGCAATGCATTGCGGTCTTGGAATATACTATGCATTATTCAGCGTTTTCTGAAATAGCTTGATATAGATATTTTTGGGAAACGCTTTACATATTTTAGCAAATATGGCTCAAATGTCAAATATCCCTCCGGCCTATCGTCAGTGATGCCACATGTTTGAGCCAAAGAACATTGTTGTTGCTTTGATTACTTCTCTGAAACATATTTCTCTGCTTTCAGAAATTGAAAGACAAGGCTGAGAAATCCAAGGCCAGTGAGCTTAAGAGTGTTAATGAAGTACTAGAAGGCTACGGATACTAGACATCAAAAATGCTTCAATAAAATTCACTTTATTAACACACAGTGTCATTTTATTTACTATTGGCGCAAGGGTTAGTCTCCTTCGCTTCTCCACAGGAAGCCCGACAAAAGGGGAGGCTGCGAAGGAGACTACACAAGGGTGGGCAAACTATACGAGACAAAGCAGTAAATGACGCCGTTATATAAATCGAAATATGGAGCCCACATTGGCGACGGAGCTGAGAGTGGABGCTGCATAATCGTTTCTGGGAAATCGCAGGGGAATTAATTGAAATATATGCAAATTTTAGGGAAATTACAGCTCAGAGAGCATGAACATAGATATATAAGTAGATTTCTAGTAAGAAAAACGCCGTTAAAACCCCGTGCCATTGCCTCACACATAAGCCCGCGTGTTTACATCGAAGCGCCGATTGTATCGAATTTCTGGGAATGGTGTGGATTATTTGAGGATATTTGTAAATGTTGAATCGTGCCTTATTCCATCACGCGTTATCAATCCCGCCGACAATTGCTGAGCTTGAGCTAACTTGTGGGCAATTTGTGATAAAAAAAACGACGATTAAGACGAAAAGAAGGCCGAAACTTAAACTCGGGATTCCTTTGCAACCCCGATTACTTACAATAAGTTTGATGTGAATGACAGTACTTACCCCTCAGAAACAGAATGAATTATGGGGAATGTGAAAGTAGTGAATGCACCTACAGAAATGTAATTTTATTTTCTCGTAATGCAAACTTCCCTTTGTTCTAGCAAGCTAAGCATTTGACTACCTGATTTAGTGATATCTATAATGCATGTAAATACGAAATTAAAACAAAAAAAAAACTCGCCATAGCCACCACTAACCGTTTTTTCAACTCCTGGGTAGTCTCAATGTCAAAGAAAAACATTCAACGGAGTGTGAGAGTGATTTAATGATCGATATTCGGTCTCTTGGCGGTGCATATAGAATTCCGCATGCCGTGTGGTCCCCTGCTCCACCGCCAAACGGCGCAAGACCTTCAGTTTGTCGAGGACATTTCAACTCGTACTATGAGATGGTTCATCATAATAAATTTTCGTATTTACATGCATTATAGAATCGCTATAATCTGCTAGTCAAATGCTTAGGTTGGGTTGCCTATGGCACTATGGATCCAGAAGTCCCGTGTTATATGTGCGCGCGTTGTGATTGATATTCTATAAATAGATCGGAACATCTGTTGCTGACCGGTTTATTAGCGAGATGGACACTTCTAATGTGTGTCTGTTTAGGAGTTTTGCGTTGCTTTAGTGGTAAGGGTTGTGTTTGTATATAAAGTAATCAGGAGTACGTACTCCTGATTACTTTATATACAAACACAACCCTTACCACTAAAGCAACGCAAAACTCCTAAAYAGACACATATTTGTGTCAATCAGACGACTAGCTGTGATCAAGTACWTTAATTTTATTTTTCAAAAGTACAGCAACTCCCTTAAAAGGGATTTATAGAATCTTGGAGTTGTATAGCAATGCCCCTAAAGCCCAACTCAAATCAAAGTTACTCATCTTTTGCGAAATATGCAAGACGAATGTGTTAAAATCGATGTGGTATCCATTTTTGAAAAGCTCGTATAAAGGTAATTCGCTCTAAAGCAGAGATCCCCCGACGGGACTCATTATTTCCCAATAAAGCAGACGTAGGGATCGTGTTGTGGTGCTTTTATTTTTGTACTATATGAATAGYGAGCGTAAAAGCACAAGTGATGCAATAATTTTTAAAAATAACACAACACAAGTGACCGTTAATTTAATCATATTATCTATTTACTATATAACTCAGTGATTGTAAAATGTAATCACATTCAAACTGAAGATGGCTTTATGAAAGTCGAAACATGTCTTTGAAATTTAAAAATGTTGTGTTATTTTTAAAAATTATTCATGAATAGAATTTTCTTTTTGTATTGTGTATTTGTACAGTTAAAATTGGAARAGAAGGTACGATTTGGTTAAAAATGATTAAATACGTGAACTTACCATTCAATTAATTGAAAACGGGTTACACTAGTTTTAAAGTAACAGAGAGGTTTTATTTCTCATCGTTTAAATACTCCAATTTGGAGTTCTGCTTTGCTCTGTTTAATCGTCCTTTTCCAGTACTCAGAAATATTCTTAACATTCATTTAATCAGCTTACCTTTGAGTACAAAATCGCYTGAACTCCCCAAACCTTATTAAATCACTGACAAAAAAGTGCTTAACCCGTAGTGGTCATATATCGGCGCTTTACACATACCCACAAATGCTATCAAGGGACTCAGGTATCGAAGTTAGAGAGCTGAGCATGCAGGCTATGAAAGACCGCGCTATGTGGCATTCTGCCGCCGACCTTCCGCAGGATGATGATGATGATGATGAAAAGTTCAGTGGATTTTTCTATCAAACTATTCTTATTTAACCAATGGGAGAGCAGGAAATAATGACAACAACAAAGTTGGCGGTCAGAACGAAGGAACAAAACTTAGGTTGCCTTTATTTCAAGCAAAACAAACCTACTTCCAAGCAACTGATCTCGTCTAAACTACGCGAAGAAAGCGATTCTAAAGAATCAGTGATTCTCTTGTTTAGAGAAAACGTTTGGTGGAGAAARAATAGCTTCAAATTGAATTTCTTGATTCTGATGCTGAATCTAATGAAAAAGAAGATGGCCCTAAATTACATCACCTCAGGTCAAGCAGCCTAACAAATGAAGAAATCTATCTTGCCAACTGCTGGAATCAGTTACCGATATGGCTCCAAATCAACGAACCAACGAAATCTTCAGGCGGTTCCTCCGCACCGGAAAGAAGAAATAACTGAGGTATATCACAATCAAAAGGCCTCGACATTCGAACCGGCCTTGGAAGGACAAGAATGACAGAATGACCATTTCACAGTTGAATAATAGTGAATTTGTGGAACTGCGAACAGTTCAGTTTGCTTCAAGGACAGCCTGCGAGTCGGCGGTTTTCGTCCTGCTACATGAATTTTTGCAAGAGCAAAGCTATAATGAATCCACAATAAAAATACAAATCAGCCGTTATTTCTCCTGCCAAAGAGAAGAAGAATACTCATAATGATAGAGTTGACTAATATTGCACTCCTACTCCTTTGGCGTTTCTTGGCTTGAATCATTCGATGAAACATCTAATTCATCATTTAATTAGCTACCAACAACCCATATGCATTCACAACGCGTAGTCTTGGCCATAAAAAGGCAATTTAAACCGAGTTCTAGTAAGAATTTTTGAAAATATTGGTTTAGTGGAAACCCCTCCTTCCCCCTTCCCCCTCCCCGGCCTTTTGTAATAGCTCTACCTCTAGTAAACAGGTGACGTTCTAAGGCAGATTTCGATTGTCTGGATTTGGACATAGGAATTTTGTTCTCTACATACTTCTTTTCAGGTCATTCAATACTCCCACAAACAAAATATTTAGCATTTGAAAGCTATTTATTACTGAATCTGATCAGCTTTCAGTAAATGGTAAATGATCCTTTGAAAGTTGCCATCAGGTCAGCTTACTTCCTATAAAGAAAGAGAAGTGCTTATTATTCCGTGCATTCAAAGGCGATGCATTGATAAATTAATCCGACCTTAGGGTTAGATCAAATCATGCAGCTTTAATCACAGAAAACCCAATTATAGTCTATAATTATTTAATTTATTTTCAATTGTACTTTATGTGTACTTGTTTACAAAATTGTTCATAAGGATAGAGTTTAAAAAGTGTTGTGTGGCAAAAACGCCAATGAGCCTTTTTGAGAGTAGAAAGGTGTGCTTCATTGTATTCGCAGATACAGTGCAATTCACAGATAGCACTGTAAGCTTTACTCGGCAAGCATTATGTTTTGATGAGTGARCCGCCCAAATCAAGAGCRCCACTCCCATCCAATGTCCCAACCTGCGGCTCGAATCTATATATCCCGATAAAACACGCAGTTTTGTTAYATAAATAACACATAAGAAAGACTACAAGTGATAATCAGCTAWAACGTACGGTACTTTCACAGAGTCTCCCAAAGAAGTTAGGTTTGCATAAACACTTGAAATTCATGAGGCCACCAGAGCTGATACATGTCCCACCATTGTTACAGGGATTCGAAGTACAAATGTCCCCTTGAATAAAAGGTATATAAAATTAGAAGATAATATCCTGATGTAACTATACCAGCAAATTTCAAAAACGCCGGAAAATAAGCCTAACTAATGCATTTATTTCAAATCCTTGTACTGTATGGTGAGTATAAGGGCTTCACTTATTGCATGAACTGGTACGAAATTGAGTCGTGAATGTTTACAAAAATATGAACGAATTTCGTTGCCTATCGCCGGTAAAATTGAACAGGGTATAGTATACCTATTGCTCAAATGAATCGTATCTAGGATCAAAATTTCCATATCCAGTTGTCATCAATATTAGATTTTGAAGTCGTTTTTCCCGAGGCACTTTTCAGTATTGTTTGTTTGGAAAGAAATCATGAATACATAGAGCACACTGGATCGACGTTGGGCATACTCTACTTTGGAACGTCATCTTGAAGTATAGTTTAAAACACGAGAGAGAGAGAGAGTGTTTTAAACGGCTTCAAAAACTCCAATACTATTTATTTGAAACTCAAATCCGTTTTTAAAATTTTTGGAGAAATTGCCGAAAAAAACATATTTTGAGATAAATGGGGCAGACTAATCATGCGCGAATCACTTTACAAAGCACTCTTGTCACATAGAGATAAAATAGAACCGCTCTTGGCTGTTCACTGAAATCGGTTGACATCCTGCATTGGTCAATGATCAGATTTCAAACCTGAGACCTTTGCTAGGGTCATGGACCTTTATATCTGATAAAGGTCACCCTTATTAATATTCTTTATATAAAGAATACTAATAAGGAGTGTTTTATCAGATACAAAGGTCCATGCATGTGACCAAATAGGCTTATTCTATTGGCCTAATAAATCGTTAATTATGCATAAGTTTTTGAAAGATTTGTTATGCTTTTGTWTTCGGTTGATACCCATACATTTTCACATCGACTGCTGCCTATGTGTGTAACTGTCGATTCAGAGCACCGATTACCTTTCAAGACATCGGGCCGRGAGCTCGTGTAAGAAGGATTATTTTTTTCGGTCCGGAATCCTAGTCATTTGCGTGCTGTAAWAGGCTAGCGYGCGGTCCGGTTTTTCACGATCTGCCCGGTACACGGTATCCTASAGCTAGGCTGTGAGCAAAGTTGCATAAAATACAAATAGAAAAAAATGTTATTTGCTGGCTATAGGTCGGTCCGTATACGAAAACACTGCGTTCGGTCTTATATGTACGGACCTCGCTGCGCTCGTTCCGTACTGTCAAGACCTCGGGCAGTGTTTTSCTATACGGTCCTCCCAAYCGGTAAATGACATATATGTATTATCTGGCAGCATTACATATCAGCCCTTTTATCATGTCTTTGTTTTTTATGCTTATATGCTTTTCTATTTTAATAATTCATATGCATAAAAGCTTTCACTAATGTATACCTATTTGATAGAAAAAGTAAGTATTGGCCTGTCCAACGCAGTATTTATCATTAGGCAGTGGTTCCTGTAAGTTAAGCTTTGGACAAGGCTTGTATCCTTCTCCAACACACTGATCGGACATTAGAAGATGATAGGACAGACCTTCAGGAGAATGTATCAGTTCCATGATTTGGGGGTTCGTATTTGTCCAACATTCTCCTGAAAAATGATAATGGATTCATGCCATAAGAGTTTGTTAGCAGAAATTGCTGGTTAAAAATCCTTGATTAGTACATATCGTGGGTGCTATATTTATGACTCTGTTTTGTATCATCACAAGAAGCAACAGGACAGTCAATTTGTTGATAATCCTGACTTCAGCGCTTCCCGAAATTSATAAGTAGTACTCCTAGAGATCCGATCTGGAGTGAAAATGTTAAAGACATGGGCCGTAGTATCATCAACTAACCTATTACAGGTACGTTAAACGTCTAAAGTTATCCTTGAGCAGCATGATATTCATATTAGGACTGTATCTAATGAAGCCTTGGCTGCTATGTGTAGTTAGTTAGTAGTAATTGAATTCGAGCTGCCGATGCTGTAAATGACTAAAAAAGCTCGGATTAYAAGGACTAGCAACCTACACATAGCAGCTTCAAGGCTTCATTGATACAATCCTTATATAACTATAATTACAAGCATTCAAGGAGTTAACAAATCTTTCAATGAGGAGGGTCCTCGTCAACAAATGGTTATATCACAATTTTTTTTTCGATTATCATACCATAGAATTGAATACCAAAACCGTCTTGGCCTGACTTTTTAGCAGCCTTTGCGCATCGGCAAACAAGGTCAGCCATGTATGATTCCCAGTTTTTCCAACCTACTTTACTGGCGTCTCGATCTGAAAACTTCATTTCCGTGAGCATTGGAATTCCTTTATAGGTGGTTTTCGAACAAAAATATGTAAGGAACTTGACTGGACATTTATCTGCAAAGAAATAACAATAATGAGCAAATTCGATCTTTACATTATAGTTTAGTATGCCGGAAATCCTTAAGTCCTTATATCTTTCATTTCTCATTCTTTTTGATCTTCTCGTTCATATTGTTGTTCTTGTTCAAGTTGCTTATTTTTATCCTTTGTTTTAAGAGTCCTATAGTACTCTTGATCGGACTGTACTTTTAGGTTCTCCGAATCAAAATATGTGCTATGTGCTATGAGGCAAGTATTCTGTGCTCTCAGAGAGTTGAGCACATGACATATAAATAATAGTAAATAAATAATATATCCGCTTCAGAAAAAAATGTTGTTATATTATAAAAACATTAGAGCAGTTTAAATCTCGAATATATCATGTTATAATAGTTTTAAAATTAAATTTTTTATGACCTTGGAAAGTGGATGCTCCTAAAAACTCCATAGTCTATTAAAGACTATAACATTATAATGATACACAAATTGAGACATCTTTACCAAAATATCGACCATAACTTTTAATCCCCTCTACCTCTTCCGATCCTGCTCAATGTACAAAATACAACTCCGAACCCTCGCTTCTCCCCTAACGTAATTATAGCACAATACTTGAAAGATTACAAACCATCAGAGACTTTGATTTCGTCGGTTATAACCTACAAAAGTGACAAAATAGTGAATGATTGATTTATGCTGCTAGACGACACAATATGTTTATCTCAATTGAATTATGACTGAATTATATAGAGGACATGCGCACTTGATTACAAACCGGCAAGCAATCAAGCAGGCGGGCGGGCGGGCGGGCGGGCGGGCGGGCATAGGCTGTGCAGCTGTGCCTCTGTAAAACAATTACAGTACAATTCAAAAAGCAGTGACCGAATAGAATTATTTCCAKTTGAGAATGTTTAGCGTTTGTTGACCAGAAGCAAGTTTACAGCGAATCGTTGCATCGCGACTTCTTCGTTTCGAAGTTTGTTTTGATTTTGTTCTTTTTTGTTTGGGGCGGAGCTTATCATAAACTCGTTCAGTCATTGGCTGATTTGCAGCAATCTCCGCCACAAAGTTGCAGAAGAACCTAAATTCTAACGATTTCTTTTGAACTTTGAAGTCATGATGCAACGGTTTCTGCTGTAACTGTCATGTACGTGCATTTTTTTTCATGTCAAATTTGATCAAAACTTCAACAATACAAATCTTTAAAACTAGTTTATCACCTAAAGGCAAATAAAACCGCAAAAAGTTTTATTGCGTTGAATAAACACAAAATTTGTCCATTTATCAATTCTGTTTTCTTGTATGTCAGTCACTTTTTCCAGCACATTCCTGAAATAACTCTAGGCGGTCACGGTTTTTCGATTTTTGCAGGATACTTACCACAGGTGAAATGCAAAAAATAACCAGCAAGAGTTTAATCATCATGATCATGCCTGATAAGATCTATAAAGGTAAAAAAAAGTAAAACAAAAGGCAGAATAGGAGAAGAATATAAGAGGTATCATAACAGATTGGCAAAATTAGTCGCGGCGAAGAAAAGAGAGGCCTATGCTACGACTGTCTCTTTTACTATACTGAGGTATCAGCTCTATTCCGTCTCAGAGGATCAAGATCACCTTGAAGAATATTAAGAACTAATATCCAAGAAGCGGACTTTGAACTAGATAGATATCGTGCCAAAATATAATTTCATTCCTTTTTTATTTATTTCTTTTTTGAGGGTCTCAATGGGGTTAACCGTGAGCCGTGAAACGGCTGAAAAATTAGCCGTGAGTCGTGAAAATGCGAAAAAATTAGCCGTGGGGCGTGAATATTTTTTTATAGCGTGAGCCGTGATTCAGTTTTGTCCCTCAGAAGGACAGTCAACTCCGATGTAAATT